CGAAAAAATGCGGCTAGAAAGAGCGAGCTGGGAGTCTCGATTTTAGAACCTGGTTACCAGCAAATGTCCTTTGCAGTTTAGAAAAGTTATGGTGTTTAATTTTTTTTTTCTTTCATCTCTCTTCTTTCAAATTGACATTTTGTTGAATATCCCGGTTTTGCTTCATCCAACCCCTCCCCCCGCCCCCTCCCCTGCTCGACACAGAATAGGAAATGATATCCTGGAGTATCAAGATCGACAGCCAGCGCCAGCTAATGGCCCGCCCGGGGTTTACCAGTCCACTCCTGGACAGTTATTTTTCTTAAATGGACTGAGTGGAGGAGCACCTCCCCTCATTGCCGACAAACCAGAAGCCTATCGCTCTGCTATTCCAGGTCCACCCCCCGTACCTAGCCCCGAATACAACAGAGATTTGCGAGAGGTGAGGGAGTATGGAGCACTATTCGGCAGCCGGAGGAACCAAGAGCAAGACCAGGTGCTGAACTTCGCACAATGTAAGTTGAGCTGTCCTCAATCTACATCTGCAGCCTATTTACTCTATCCGAATGTTCATATAATAAATAAGGGATAGTTTGCAAAATACCCCCATAAGTTGAGATATATGCCAAAGTGCCCCTGAAAGATGTGGGTAGAGCGGAATGCCCTTTTGGGCCGAAATCTTTGTGTTGTTGCCCTGTCAGGCGGGTGTGCAACTTTGCAATCTGGACCTCCCCGTTTGGGCCTTGGCCTTTTGCAATAGCACCTAGGAAAAGTTGGCAAGTACTGGGGCATTTTGCAAAGTTGGATGGTACCCGGTAGGGGTATACTGCAAAGATGGGGGTCCAACCGACGCCAAGGGTATTTCGCAAAATATTTTTTTTGTCAGAGGGGCATTCCACTGTACCCACATCTTTTAGGGGCATTTTGGCATATATCTCATTGCAAATTATCCCGATAAATAAAAGAATAAAAAGTTAAAAAACACAAAATGTTAGATTCCTTACCCGAAACTTTATCCAGAATCATGTTTCCATGAGTTGTGCTATCATTTTTTATTTTTTTTAAAGGAAAAAAATGAGGAACTGGGGTCATTACCCGGCTTTGGCGGAGAAGTGTACTTCAATCTAGTAAGAAACTGATGACAATTAAAACCAGGCCACCGACTAAAGAGCCACAAAAAAAAAAGAAGAAGAAGAAGAAGAAGAAGAAGAAGAAGAACCACACATTACCGAGCAAAAGCCGGACCTACCCAACCATCATCCAGTACCTCCATGCAAAAACGGAAGGGAGAGGACACCAACCTCCGTCACCATGGAGATGAGGGACACCACTTGCCCCTATCTTTTTTTTTGGGGGGGGGGTAACTTCAGTAGAGTCACAAAAGCGAGTTATAATTGCACTACGGGGCAAGATACAGTTCGCAATTGCACTTCGGGCACCCTACCTGACCTGACCAGTAAACTCGGTTGCAGAGCACTCAGATTGCTACCTTCTTCGTAGCTGTATTTGAGGCATCTTTCAGTCTAGATACAGCAATAATGACCGTACGTTGTATGCGGGGGAATAAGGTAGACTAAACATGTGACCAGGGGTGGCAATGGTAGAGAATTAGCAGAGGCTTGACAGATGATAGGAAGCAGGAATTCACAGAGAATAGCCACACATGCGGGCCCGGCAGGGGGCCGGCTGGAGGTTGACTCAAATAGTATAAAGGGCAGGTACATTCATCTCTAGAACCGCAGCAGAGCACTAAGAGCGGGGGTAGCGGAACAGGGGGTAGCCCTGCCTACTGGAATTGGAGGTTTAGCACCGGCCACAGAATCAGGTCGTGCGACTAAGACAACAACATGATGCTGTTACCCGGGTAAATGGAGGGTAGCACAACAGTAGAACTGTCTCCAACCGCCCGGGCCAGTAGCAGGAAGACCCAGCGGCTTGCTACTACCACAACTACATCTCTGGTCAAACACATAATGGCAACAATAAGTGGGCGTCGTAGGATACAACTACACCTTTGTCATCCTTTCTACATTGTATCCTCCTACTACACCCCATCTTATTTTTTTGTTGTTGAAAAACTAATCTATATTCTTCTCTTGGGGTTTATTAGCTTGATGGATGGGGTGTAGTAGGATTGAAAAAAAAAAAAAAAAAAAAAAAAAAAAAAAGAAGAAGAAGAAGAAGAAGAAGAAGAAAAAGGAAAAAAGGATACAACAAGACTGAACAGATGAATAAGATCCTGCAGCAAGTTCTGCGTATGTACAGTAGACCCGATCAAGTCAATTGGGACGAGATGTTGCCCAAGGTAGCCAGTGCGTACAATAACAGCGTGCACTTGTCCACCTGTCGCACTCCCAATGAGCTGCACAAGTCCTTTAGACCGCGTAGACCGTTTGAGGGACTTAACCGTGATCAGATTCACAGGCTACCGCCCAGTACCAGGGAGTTCGCGATACAGCACGAGAAAGAAATAGCTACAGTTGTGGAGAACCTCAGGAAGGCCCAGCGTAGAATGATAGAACAAGCTAACAAGCACCGTCGCCCATCACAGTTCCAAGTAGGCGACTTAGTCTGGGTCAAGTCTAAAGAGTTTGCTTCTGAGGAAAACATCTCGCAGAAGTTACTGCCCGCATATACAGGACCGTGGCCAGTTCTAGAAGTCGCTGCCGTGTGTCACGAGTCACGAGAAAACATCTCGCGGAGAGGATGGACCGTCCTACACCGTAGGGATCCCAGCACACCTCCACACCTACCCTCTATTTCATGCATCGAAGTCGCTGCCGTGTGTCACGAGTCAACAGTTTCCATCTAGGAGATCCATGATCCCCCCAGACATGGACGGGAGATACGACATTGACGGCATTGTAGGTGAAGATGTGTTCAGAACAGGAGGTAGAGGCCGTCCGCAGAAGCAGTATAAGGTCCGGTTTGCTTATCAGGAACCGGAGGACGACCGCTGGTTCACTAGAGCAGAACTTCTAGAGACAGCTCCCGACATAGTTAGAGCCTACGAGAGAGACAAGAAAGGTAAAGGTCCTCTCTTGGGCTGAGTTATTCTCGGAGGACCTCGAATTTAGGCCGGTGGGAGTGAAACGGTATTCACCAGTTCGCAGTAGCCGACGCAGATCCCAGGGCTCGATCCCTAGTCCCCACCTTACCTGTGTACAGTATCTGTGTTGACCCTAGAGTTGAACCGGTGACCTGTGTATTTGTAACAGTTGGTGGTCTGTCGTAGGGTCTGTAGGTAGCAGGGGTTCGATCTGTAGATCTGTCAAGTAGAAGTCCTAGGGGGTTCTAGAAGTCGTAGCTGCTACAGTCCTGAAGGGTCAACGTCGTAGCTGCTACAGTCTTCGAAAGGCCAGGACCCAGACTTCCAGAAGGTCCTAGTAGTGGCCTTTCGAAGTTGCTCACGTTTTGACTGAGGCAAGTGGGCAAGTGGTGAGCCCAACTGCAGTACGTCGGCAGTGCGACTGCATTGAGTTGGCAGTGCAAACCCATGCAGTCAGCAGTACCGGTCCCAGTCAGTCCTAGTCCAGTCAAGCAAGTACCGCATGGGACTGTGTGCACCACGGGCAAGGGAAAGGGCCAGACCAACGAGCTACAGAAGTATAAATCAAAGGGCAGCGTCCAGCCATTCATTCATTCCTGCGTGAGCCATGCGGAAGCGCTGCCACAGCGACTGGTGCGAGGTGGTCTGCAGTGAGCCCGAAGACGAAGTGGGCGAGAGAGAAGGAGCTTAACCATAGCGATAGGGTAGCAGCGGCCATAGCCGCCATAGCTGTAGATAGCGTGCAGTGTGTGTGTGTGTGTGTGTGTGTGTGTGTGTACAGAGTATCGCGTGTGGGATATCCAGGGTGATCCTGCGTGTGCGAACAGAGAGTTGTATGGGCGCTGAGTCGCCATAGCCATCGAAATGAACTTGATCTGAGTTGTGTTCTTGGTTGCCATATCTCTGAGTTCTGAGTGGGCACTTGTCGCCAGTTTGCTGCGCACCTGTTTGCATACATGTAAGTGTGAATGAAAGCGAGTCTGATTGCATGAGTATGCCCTGAGTTTCGTTTGCTCTCTTTCTCTTTTGTTCTCTCTTCTAAATCCTCTCTGTGTTCTTGTTTCTGTTTACGTTAACCTGTCCTTACTTTCTCTGTGTGTGGATTTTATGCCTGCCAATCATGTCAGCCCTGGACGTCAACACTTACACACGGATGTGGGCCATCGTCGCCAAGCAAATTTTGCCACACAACATTTCACTGTATGACACAGCTTATGTGTTCGCGGCTATGGCCATCGTTCAGCAGGATGGGATCGCTTCGGTGTTTGATAATAAATGGTATCACTTCTTCTGGAGACCAGTCACTGCAATTCGGTACGTTATCTAAATCTGAATCAATAAATAGGTAGGGCCGACATGGGTCAAAAGAAAGGAGGGACAAGCGGAGAAAAAAAAAAAAGAAAAAAAAAAGAAAGGATTGCAGTTATCATCCTTCATGTTGAACGTCACATACAGACACTATTAAATTTAGTATTTACCTTTTTTTTTTTTTTTTTTTTAGTAGTATTTACTATTTACTCTGCAGCTGTCATGGTCCCGTTAAATTTGACAGGTTGCAAGTACATTGGTTTCCATACTGCAGTCATCCGACGCTTATTCTTGCTGTATCTAGACTCAAAGTTGGCCCAAATACAGCTATAATGACCGTGCGTTGTATTCGGATCAACACAGTAGGTGGACCCTTCTTCAGGAAAGGCAAAAAAGGGAAAACAGTGAACAACAACAAAAAAAAAAAAGAAGAAGAAGAAAAAAAAAAGAAACAGAACCTTTCAATGTGCATTGCGACTTGCAAGAGGTATTTAAAAAAAAATAAAAAAAATTTGCATTGCAAGAGGGTATGAAGTTATGAACTACTATGAAGGCCTTTGGGACATGCATTAAAATTGAACAAGTAAACGCGCCGCGGGGGAACATACGTGATTGAAGAAGTGAGTGACACACACACTCTCCCTCTCTCTCTCTCTCTCTCTCTTTCTCTCTCTCTCTCTCTCTCTCTCTCTCTCACACACACACACACACACACACACACACACACACACACACAC